CGACCACCTTGGGTGTAAGTAAATAATCTTTTCAATCAACCATTACGCCTCCGTGACTGATTCTAGCTTGAGCGTACCATACCGCGCCGCGGTTTTCTCCGGCCCCGCGTGCCCGGGCTGCTGGCCACAGCCTGTGTGCACAAAGACGGGCCCGGCTCGCCCCCGAGATCGGGAGCCGGCCCGCACACTTGGAAAACGCTGCATATGCAACTTCATAGAGAACACTGCTCTAGAAGACAGAGGCAGCCACAGGCAATTCTGTGGAAAATCCCAAAACTGCCTGGTGGCTGAACTTAACATACTGAACTTTTTAGAGAGTTTGAATTAGCAGTTGATTTTTCGTACCTGGCAGGCAGCAGGAGGTCCACCAGCATCCCTGAATCCAGCACAGATCATTGACTGTCGGACTCTGTCTCCCCAGAACTTCTGCAGGCGACACGTGTTGAAATCTATGACTGGTAACTTGGCCTGATTCAAAACTCCAGACAAAGTCAGGTTTTTATTCCCACCTTAAACAGATAAAACAGATGAGAAAAGTGAACATGAAGAACACTTCCAAATTTGTTGTGAACATTTCAAAGGCCACTTAACAGCATTCATGTATACTGTAGCAGGGCACTAGGATGCCTGGTACTAGAAATGCTGGGATAACTCTTCAGGTGCTGGTTTCCAAGGCAACAAAAAGGAGCTAATGGCTTACACCTGCCTAGCCAGCTGAAGAAAGGGGCAGGGCCTGGCCCCTATATAAAGCACAGGCAGGAGGCCAGAGGCAGTTCCCTGCCAGCTGCCAAAGAGGAAGGAGCTTTCTCACAGAAGGGATAGAGTATTTCCTGGTAGGCTTGGGCATTGTTATGGCCAAGTGGCTTCTGTTTAAGTTATAGTCAATTGGCTTGTATTTTGTGTTGCTGTTTATAACCGGTGGTTTGGGTGAGGCTATAAGGGGATGGAGGAGGCCTCATAGGGGACTTACGGCAGAGTGAGGACCCCAGCCCCAGTGTGGGCACAGAGAGCCCCAGGAGAGGGGCAGTGTATGGAGGAGGCCCCTGTGAGAAGGGCGGCACTTGCAGAGAAGAGCCCAGTGAGAGACAGGGCCACGGAGGTCCCAAGCGCCAGAGGAGTGTAGGACAAGACAGTGTTGTACCCGCATGGCCCACAGGGCTTGGGTACACAGAACACTAGAAGCAGGAGAACTGTAGCCAAGCAAAAGCAAGGTAGCCTCCCTATAAAGAACTACCATACAATCAAAGTCGTGGCAGGCGAGAATAGGAGGGTGGAAGTCTGACGCTTGGCACAGTAAAGGAGGTGACAGGGGAGAGCACAGCAACCCTGACGTTGCTCCTGCCACACATACATTTTGTGATCTTGGCCTTTGTTTTAGAGGAGTGGATTCCCCCCATGCTTTCTTTTTTAACTAATTAACATTAATTTTGTTATCCATTCCACAAACATAACACACTATGACACTACTTCTCTCGCAGTATGAAATTATAATGTTCTGTTATGAAAGGATCTAACTACACCTTTAGGGCAGGGCCATGGCATGACAGCTCATAACAAGAGGCTTGCACTTGCTTTACCTGGTCTAGGTAAAGAAATTCCAGTGTTATCAATATGGCATAGGCATAATTTGGTATGCAAGATCTTTGGGATAGGGCGTTCATGTTCAATATGTTAGTAATGTGCTTGGCACAGATCCTGACTGGAACCTCAAGGCAATATCTAATTATAAAAATGTAAGTACAGAAAACCAAGGGAAAACCTTAAACTAACCTGAGGGGTTGTCGTGCCAATATCCAGGTATGTACGCATTTAACCACCAGCTCCTACAAAATATATTGTAAACTGCTTGAAGCAGGGACCATCAGCTTCTTCTGTGTTCGTATAAAACCTAGCGGAGAGAGGTCCAGGTCCATAACTGAGACTTCTAGGCTATGGAGAGTTCTTGCATTTATGCTGGAAGAAACACTTTTCTCCCAGCACCAAAAGGTGGTATACAGCCATTCAAAAGGGTTTTCATGCAAGGAAGTTTGGTCTTTTACACAAAAAAAGAGCAGTTCAAATAAGGAAGTTCTCTCAAGTTTTTCTAGTGCAGCTTTTAACAACTGTATATTTCTCTTGGCGGGGGGGAGGGAGAGCACCATCTCCACAATGGCCCAGCCAGTGCCAAACTTTCAGGAAGTCTTTCAAGGGCCCTTGTTGCCTCTGCTTGAACAAAGCCTAGACTATTCCAGGAGTCATGGGGTTGTTTATGCCATGGTGCCAATGCCCCTCAGCAGGTCATCTCATGTTTGTGCAAGGGACAGGGGGCATTCCCTGTACTCTTCCACCTCCCCCCCCCCTCCTCCATCCATGGCTCTAACTTTCCCCATAGTTTGACCTATCCCATATGTCCCTGGGACACATCAAGCCATGAGATGATCAGCAGAGCCCAGTGGGAGTGGACCAGCCTGAGGGGGAAAGGAGTCCAGGAGAGCTGGTTGTATTTTAAAGAAACCTTACGGAGGGTGCAGGAACAAACCATCCCAATGTGCTGGAAGAATAGCAAATGTGGCAAGCAACCAGCTTGGCTTAGCAGAGAGCTCTTCAGTGAATTTAAACATAAAAAAGGAAGCTTACAATAAGTGGAAGCTTAGACAAACAACTTGGGAGGAGTATAAGAATATTGCTCAGGCATGCACGGATGAAGTCAGGAAGGCCAAAGCGCAGTTGGAGTTGCAGCTAACAAGGGACGTGAATGGTAACAAGAAGGGTTTCTACAAGTATATTAGGAACAAGAGGAAGGTCAGGGAAAGTGTGGGTACCTTACTGAATGGGGGAGACAACTTAGTGACAGATGAGGAGGAAAAGGCTGAAGTACTCCAATGCTTTTTTTTTTTTTTTTTTTTTTACCTCGGTCTTCACAGGCAAGGTCAGATCCCAGACTACTGCACCAGGTAGCACAGTTTGTGGGGAAGATGAGCAGCCCACAGTGGTGAAAGAACAGGTTAGGGACTATTTAGAAAAGCTGGACATGTACAAGTCCATGGCACAGGATGCAATGCATCCAAGGGTGTTGAGGGAGTTGGCTGATGTGATTGTAGAGCTCTTGGCCATTATCTTTGAAAACTTGTGGCGATCGGGGGAGGTCCCAGATGATTGGGAAAGGGCAAATATAGTGCCCATCTTTAAGAAAGGGAAAAGAAAGATCTGGGGAACTACAGACCAGTCAGCCTCACCTCAGTCCCCAGAAAAAATCATGAAGCAGGTCCTCAAAGAATCCATTTCTAAGCACTTGGAGAAGAAGAAGGTGATTAGGAACAGTCAGCATGGATACATCAAGGGCAAATCATGCCTGACCAACCTGACTGCCTTCTATGATGAGAAAAGTGGCTCTGTGGATATGGGGAAAGCAGTGGATGTGATATACCTTGACTTCAGCAAGGCTTTTGATACTGTCTCCTACAGCATTTTTTGCAAGCAAGCTAAGGAACTATAGGTTGGATAAATGGACTGTAAGGTGGATAGAAAGTTGGCTGGATTGTTGGGCTCAACGGGTAGTAATCAATGGTTCAATGTCTAGTTGGCAGCCAGTATCAAGTGGAGTGCCCCAGGGGTTGATCCTGGAGTCAGTTTTGTGCAATATCTTCATTAACAATCTGGAAGATGGGACAGATTGCACCCTGAGCAAGTTAGTGGATGACACCAAGCTTCAGGGTGTAGTAGATGCACTGCAGGACAGGGCTAGGATTCAGAGTGACCTAGACAAATTGGAGGGTTGAGGATAGTAATTATTCTGCACTGTTGAGGCCACATCTGGAGTACTGTCTGGTTTTGGGCCCCCCACTATAGAAAGGATTTGGACAAGTTGGAGAGAGTCCAGCAGAAGGCAATGAAAATGGTGAGGAGATTGGGGGAAATGACTTCTGAGGAGAAGCTGAGGGAACTGGGTTTATTTAGTTTGCAGAAGAGAAGAAGGGGAGGTGGGATTTGAAAGCAGCCGTCAACTACCTGAGGGGTGGTTCCAACAAGGATGGAACTAGACTGTTCTCAGCGGTAACAGATGACAGAACAAGGAGCAATGGTCTCAAGTTGCAACAAGGGAGGTTTAAGTTGGATATTAGGAAAAACTCTTACTAGGAGGGTGGTAAAAAAAGCACTGGAACAGGTTACCTAGAGATGTGATAGAATCTCCATCCTTGGAGGTTTTTAAGGCCTGGCTTGACAAAGCCCTCATTGGATATAGTTGAGGATGGTCCTGCTTTGAGCAGGGTGTTTGAACTAGATGACCTCCTGAGGTCCCTTCCAACTCCTATTTTTT